GTCACTGTGTAACGCACATTCTCAGTCACTAAGCCAATGAAACACAGAAGCTGAGAAAAAAATGATAAGGAAAGCATCATAGGTTCAAATATCATTCCCAAATAAACTCAGCGCAAGTTTTTGAGCCCACAAATAAATGCTAAATGATTTTGTAATCATTCCTCATGACAAAATTTGCCAAAGGGAATCAGCTAATTAGTAGATGCACAACAGAGAGACAAAGTTCAGAGGCTCGCTGGGAGAATAAGATTGCCAAGCAGCAAGAGGTCACGGCTTTTAGTGAGTCAAATAAATAAGTCAAATAAATGGGGAGTACAAATAGATAAACAGTTCACAACTGACTTCCAACATAATATACTGAGATTAAGCTTTGAGGTGATTCTTGCCATTGAGATGAAAGAGTCAGAGATTTACTGGCTGCAGAATTACTGTCCTGCAACAATGAAATAGTCCATGCATGAAGGACATTTTAGGCAATTACACCTAACTGATGATGATTACCGCCACTGTGATTTCAGAGGTTTCTGTGATACAGCTCTGAAGATCAGAATCCTATCTGAGCTGTTACCCAATAATAGACAGTAATATCAACACTGATATTATTGAGAGCTAGAGTAACAGGTTGGTTAGAATGGTAAGTTAGTAAGAGAGACCTAGACTCAAATGAACTCTCATGCATTTATTTTATAAAAATACTTCTATTCTGCTTGTTTAATTAAAGTATTACTAAATGGATCTTAAAACAAGCAAAGACACTAACAACAGAAGCATTATAAACAGATCTCTGGAAATACAGTAGCCAACCAGCTAGCTGGCTTTTCATGTAACATGGAAATGGTTTCACTGGGCTTTTTGAAAACCTATAGTAAATGTGGGGAAATTTCCACAGCCTGGTATCACTACGAAGAAGGCCGTGTCTACACTTTTAATATTTAGAAGATATGGATGACTCTCCAAGAAAATGTTGACAGGGAGGAGGGGAGAATCATATGAAAACACTCAGTAGTTCAGACAAGGCAACTTTCAATTTACTTATCAAGTTTAATTTATTTATTTATTTTATTTATATCGCAAGGCAACTTTCAATTTATTTATCAAGTTTGCTTGCTTGCTTTATTTGTTGCATCTTCTTTAAGAAATATGCTGAAAAGATTCAAGGCTTTAAAAGTTGCAACCGGTACTGTTACTGTGCAGACCTGGACTCATAAAAACATTAGCTGATTAAAATTACTTAGATAAGGAGTCCTTCCTCCATAACAGCAGTGCACTTTCCAAACCATCTTCAAAAGCAGTCCCATGCAGAGCTTGTTATGATGATCAAAGTAGGGCCCTAATTTTAACTCAGGTGACTTTGGTCCTTTTTCTATTTCACAGCTTTCTCTACCTCACGAATTCACTAGGAGAACCATGTGCGTTGCCTGAAGCTCCTATGAGGAATCATGAAATAAAATTTCATTAATAATAATAATAATATTGTATTAAAGTTTATAGAGCTACTTGATCCAAGGCCTTAACAAAAATCAGTTGCAATGGTATGTGTGCATTTTGTTGAAATTATCCTTTTAAAAAAGTTATTCTTTTTCTATAGGACATTTGCACTGTATTTTACAGTGCCACGAATAAGGGTTTTCTCCTTAAGTTGCTGCCTAAGAGTCTGGCAGTTCATCCTTTCACAGATAGTCATGACTGTTATATCAAATAGACTGGAATGTTCTTTCAATAAACACAAGGCTGTTTTTGCTCAGTGGCATGATATCTGATTGTGCTTATCAATGGACAAACACAGACAAACTACATGATAGGTCATAAGCATTGCTGCACAAATCTGCCTCCCCCAGTTTCTCTCTTCTGGGTTGATTTCACACCGTGCATACCTGATCTTTATCATACACCAGATAGGGGAAAATAGGAATAGGGTACTTGCAGCCCTTCAGATATTGCTACGCCATTCATACTTTATTGTTGGCTAGGCAAGTTAGAGTTGATTTGAGTTGCATTTGCATAACATCTGGAGGGCTACAAATTTCTCTAGCCCCTGCAATACAGGAAGGATGCATACAACCAATCCATTTCTGTACAAAAGAATCAGCCACATCTAGCTCAATTGTTGTTGTTAGGAGCCACTTCTGACTTATGGCAACGCTATTAATGTAATTGTTGTTGTTAGGAGCCACCAAGTCACTTCTGACTTATGGCAACGCTATTAATGAATAACCTCCAAAATATTCTGTCATAAACAGTCCTGTTCAGATCTTGCACACTCAAGGCCACAACTTACTTTGTTGAGTCAGTCCAGTTCATTTTAGCACCCATCAATTATCATCCTTCTGATTAGCTTCCACCTTTTGACTTAAATACATACTGACTGAAATTAACTCTCTGCTTGGAATCCTCTAGGCTGACTTTAGCTATGTGAATTTTCCACATCAGCCATGTACCATGAGAATTTAATACTGTATGTTCCGTAAGTAGTACGCATTTTAAAGACATTCCAAAATCAGAGCTCAGCAATGGAAATTCAAAGTGAGCACATTTTTGTGCATGCGTGTGCGCGCGGATGCTTATGTGTGTATGTCTTAAAAGCTGGAGAAACGTTTGACAAGGATAGGTCAGATGTAGAATCCTCTGCTGGATATAATCTAGGTTGGAGGCTCTACATTATTTATGAGCTCATCTAACTCTAGGCAATTATAATTTTTATCTCATGTCAGTCATAGCTGGTAATGTTATTTTCACTTTAGAGTATTTGGGTCTTTAAAACTATGAAAAGTACCTCTGGGCATAAAAGAACAGTTTAAATTGGATTAAACACTTCATATTGTTTGAGATCTTCAAGCCAACTGGGTCAGGATACTTGGATTGTTAAGTCTAATTGACTTCAGCAGTGCTAAATCTCTAATTCAACCACACAGGATGCTTAATTCATCTCTGAATTTGGCAATTACAGACTGCCAGGAACCTTTGCACATAATCTAACCTTGCAAGCTCAATCTTTCCTTTGTACAGGCCTACGGTAGCCTAGTGGTATTTATTCCAGAAGGCATACAGTCCCATGGAAGTCATATGTTGCATTTTCCCTCATGTTAAAGACAATTCCCTGCTTAACTGGCTTGTAGATTGGATACAAATATACAAATATGTGCAGAACTGCTGCTGATGGAAGTCAGTACACAGGATGCCCATTCTATGTACTATTCGCTTTGGGAGGGAAGCCGATTGTGATACCAATGCCAAACGTGGCAAAATGACTTTTTTAGAGTATAGCTCCCAGAATTCTTCAACCAGATTGTCCATAAAAATAACTTTCCCTGTAACGGCAAGTTCCCTCCTTGATTGAATAGACATTTGTGGGAAGAAGAAAAAAAATCATCATTGGAACAAAGGTTTGGTGACAATAGTGGAGGTTGGTTTTGCTCCTGTGCACCACAGTCCTAATCTTGTCTTCAAAGCTTCTTTCTTCCAGATGGTTCTTCCTGTGCTGGAGAACAGATCTGTGTATTAGGCCACAAACTCAGCAAAAGGCTTCCTAAACCAGCCTGCTGTCTCAGGTGCAAAGTGTGTTACCCCATCTCTTCCACCTTCAGCACATGAAATAGGAAGGGGTCATTATCTTGTCTTCTGCCACAGGCAGCAAAACATCCTGGGCCAGTGCTGTCTTTATATTAGTCATTTGAGCTTGTAGCTTTTGATCCACATAAAATATTGCCAGGGATTCATCTGATGGCAGCTGATGAGCAAGACAGTTTATTTGAACAGACTAAAGGGCCCTCCCCCCCCCCATGTCTAGGGCTGGAAAATGCAAGAGGATATTAAAACTCCTGAAGCCAGGAAGGAAATCTTTGCTTGGGATCTGTGAACTTTTGAATAGCCTGTTGCTGCAGAGAAACCACAATCTGCTCTTTGTGTTAGGATGACAGAAAGGACTATTAACACATAACCTGGGCTGCCTGCACAGGTAAGGGTTTTTTCTTATTGGTTGTTGTGGGTTTTTCGGGCTTCTTGGCCATGTTCTGAAGGTGGTTTTTCCTAACGTTTCAACAGTCTCTGTGGCCGGCATCTTCAGAGGACAGCAAACTTTTCTTATTGCCTCATACCAGAAATTGGGGACATTCCATGACATTTAATGGTGGGATATTCATGGTAAATTGTAAACCCTACAATATTTGTTTAAATTATGCTTCTACAAGATTTGATGATGGCCTTCAACCTAAGATAACTTTCAAAAGTAATCAGACCTCAGCTGGGAAATAACGAGTTACAAGTACCTAAGATAATGTATTTCCTTTTGGATAAGAATGATTCAATGAAGTTACACCTCAGAAGTTACATGAGGAGGCCTGATGTTATTTTATTGGCATAACAAGTAATAGTTTTCTATTTACTTTCAAATGAGTGATTTTTTTCCCCAAACAGAACAATTTTGAAGAGGTTTTGACAAGATTTTCAAAGTTGCACACAGTTCCTTTATCAGTTCTGACAAGTAACTTTTCAACACTGCAGTGATTAAGGGCAACGGGTTATCTTCCCAACACGGCAGTAAAGGGAGAGGAACGTGTTAATTTTGGGCTGCCTATATCTTGAGTCCAGCATCGGAGGCGACTGTGTCCCTCTGTCTTCCTGGGAAACACCGTCGGGAACAACAAGCTCGCGCCGGGGTGGGGATCCCCGAGGCCGCCTGCGGGAAAAAGAGGCGGCAGCGAGACGAGATCGATAGGCGCACCAGCTGCCGGCTCCGCTCACTCGCCTCCGTGCTCCTGACAGAGCGGCAGTCCGCGGGGCTCTGGC